GGAGAATTGGTCTCAAAGATACTGAAAATTTGAATATTTTTCTATAAAACTTCTTATTGAAGCGCTCAGGAAAGCGAAAGCAAATATATTTGTTCATAATGTAACTAGTACCTTTCAAATAAAGAGGCTCTCCAGTGTACTATAATGCAAATAGAAAAAAATGCGAATTTTGCAGAGCTTTTTCAGTGGATTTCGCATTATTAGGCTTATGGATAAGCTTGGATAATCAAAAATCAGCTGTACCGTCCCTGTCGGGCGGATACGCTCGTACTTTCCAGTCCTGAACGATACGGCGGTGTTTTGTTGTGTGCTTCATGGTGCAGTGGCCTTGATTTCCTTCCATTTTCCTTTGGTCCCGTCCCCGGCAGAATTACAATTGTCAGAGGCTTGACAGCTGAGGGTCGGAAGAACGAAAAAGTGGCAGTTTCCGTTGAAATAGGAAATCCATCGAGTTTAAAGAAGGTTGAGGATCTTGTCCCGTCCATTATGACGTCAAACTAAGAAAAGAGGTTTAGGTCTAGAGTTGTGCTTGGGCAATCACAATGCAATGGTTGGTCTGACTTATTCCCGAAAATCCAACCTGGATTCGATTTGGGCTATTTGGGCAATTGTAGTTTCAAGAAAAACTAATGTCAGCTAATTGACTCCGATTGCTCGTAACTGCGTTATTCCTGAATTGGGCTAGGCAATTCGTTATCAGAGGAGCAACCAGTGATTGATAATTCGGATTTTTCAAACTTCATCAAAAATTGCTCTTTTATTGGTATATCCGCTCAGCAAGGCTAGAAGCTTTGTCAGAAACCTAGAACGACTTCAACACCCACTTCGTCACTCTTGGCCATCTGCCTTCAAAGGACTGAACTTGCATGTGGCTGTTGCCATTACAGTCTCGGTTCGAGAAGTTTCCATGCCCAATTGACCAACCATCCAATCGAGCCATTTTTGATAAAAAGTTTCAATGGGAGTTTGTATAATAGTCACAAGGCAGGGTGAAAATGTAGTTGGTGGGTGCCAGGCACTTTTGTGCTCTGCGTCTCTTCATTTCTCACCCTGTCTAATCATCTCACCCATCCCGGAGCTCCTCCCCTTCTGAAAGTTAGGGAAGGAGCCACGGGGTGGGTGAACCACTTGGATGTTCAATTGTTACCCCATCCCGGTTTTTCGCACAAGATTATCATCTCTCCCACCCCGGAGCTCCTCTCCCTAACTTTTGAAGGAGAGGAATCCATCTCTGCGACCTCTACGCACTCTGCCGCCGATGTCAGAGACGCAGCCACGGGGTGGCAGAGCACAAAAGGGCGCTGGCACCCCCCAACTACATTTTCACCCAAGGCAGTTAGTGACAGAACTCACTCTCTGAGCAAGTAACTTAGTAACTTGTCATATCATTGGCTCAATCTCTACTGCTGATATCTCTGTTATCATTTTAAATGTACGGTATAGGCCAGGGGTCAAGTTGGCACTTAAAGGTCGCAATCGGGAATCACTCAATAAGACCGCCCGTGCTCATTGATTCCTTGACGCTGTGGGGGGTGCCGGCTGAATTTTTGTTTTTCCTCTTTTTCCTTTGCCGTCATTTCTTTTCCGAACAACTTAGGGTAGGATGAACAAAAAAATGGCTGTTCCCGTTGAGTCTGAAAATTCTTGGAGTTGGAAAGAGTTTGAGGGTCTTTCGATCGTTCATGGTTACACCGAACTAAGAAAGGAGGTATAGGTCTGAAGTTCTGGTGAGGCCTACACAATGCAATGGTAGATCTTAGTTGTTTCCGAGAATCCAACTGGGATCCGATTCGTGCTACCGTAGTTTCAGAAAAACTAATGTCAGTCAAGGCTATTTCGTTACCAGAAGAGCCGCAATGATCGATAATCCGGGATTTCCCAGAAATTCATCAAAAGTTGCAGTTTCATCTAATACTCCCTCTTCGCTGAGTAGAGACTTCTACCAGAAGCCAAGGCCAACTGGAACCTGCCTCCATCACTCTTGGCCACCCATACTATTGCGAGCGTTGCATGTGGTGCTCCCCATTATGGTTCCGGTTCGAGAAGTTTCTATGCCCAATTGATCAATCAGCAAGTCAAGGCACCTCTGAGTTGTTCAATTCTGCTGGAACTTTATAACTTACAGAACAGTAACAGAGTTCATTATATGAGAAGTAACTCAGTAAGTTGCGATAGCACTGACCCATTGTCTTTTGCTAATATGTTTGTTATCATTGTGAATGTACGGTATAGGCCCGGGGTCAAGTTGGCAATTAAAGGTCGCAATCTGGAATCTTTCAATAAGGCCGCCCGTGCTCATTGATTCCTTGACTGTGCGGGGGGCGCCGGCTGAGTTTTTTCTGTCCTTTCTACCTTGCATTACTTTGTGTCTGGACCTCAGTTTTGTCTTTTTCACAACAGCTCATTGCTCCAAGAGCTCGAGCTCCTAGGAACTCATTCTGCTTTTTTCAGGTAAACTTAAAACGCCAAACACGGGTTTTGGCGAATTCCAGCTTGGGTGACTGTTTACGGTTGCACACCCTGCAACCACAGGTCAGAAACTTTTCTTGGTAATTTAAATTTCAGAATACAATGCAACATTTGAATAAGCAGTTGGATTTCAGGTGTGCGACAGAATAGTGGATCGATAACAACCCCAGTCGAGTGGCTGGGAACATGGCGGTCCACCAAGTGCACGCAGACAGGACCACAGGTAGCAGGTTTTTGGCTTTTCTACTCTTATCTTACCTAATTTCGGTTCATTTCAGATCCGTATGGGCGATCGTGGTCCAGGATCGTGTGATGGGAGCTGTAAATGGGAGGAGCGGCCGATCGCCAGTCAGGTCCACCTTCTGTCCCGTCTGTCCGTGTATGTGTTGTCCTCGTCCTTGCATGCGACGTCCTGGTGCGTGTCTGTCCACGTCTGTCCGCGTCTGCCCCTTCGGACGTGCCTGTCCCCCTCTTTGTGAGTCTGTCCGTCCCTGTCCTCTTCTAACCGTATCTTTCTGTGTGTGCCCTTCTGTGTGCTGTCCGTCCTACTCCGTCCTTGTGTACCCACCCGCCCTTGAGTCTGTCTACCTCTGTCTGTATGTGCTCCTGCCGTCCTGTCTCCCAACCTGTTCGCGTCTGTGAATGTCTGCTCCTGTCAGCTCACCTGTGGCTATTCATCTCCCTCTCTGTCTGCGTGGTTCGTTGGTCTGTTCACCAGTCTGTCCTTCCAGTCTGTCTCATTTGTAGAGTAGGTGCTGCTGTCCTAAAAGGGACCAAGACAATCACCTGTCTGGGCATGGTTTGGAAACTTGGCGCATGTGGGGAACGCCTCTTTGTTTCACACGATGAAGAGCCGCTTTCACCGATTCTTCTCACAGTGGAGCAGTCAGGAGTACCCCAATGTACCAGTATAAGCTCCTTATTGCTGAAATTCCTCGTTTTCAAACCTTAGGCTCTCATCCTTCTTCCTTCTTCTTTGCTCTACTCCTTTCCTTTTCTTTCCTTCAACATCCGTTTTTACTGAAAGACCACAAGGTACAGGTGCAGGAGAAATAGTTCTGCGGAGTAGGGGCTTCGCAAATTATTTCTCTTTTCCCTTTCACCTCTGGTTTTTCTGAATCATAGTAGTGACCTGGAAAAAGTAGTGAAGGGTTAGGGTTTGAGGAGTGGAGAAAGATGGTCTTGCAGACTATCGGCTTCCGCGGATCTTTTTCTTTCTATCTTTTCAAAATCCTGATCATTTGGTATTTCTTACCTTTTCGTATTTCATATCTTTTTGTTTTAATATTTTTCGCAGAATTCTTTCATTCACTTTTTTCCCCTGTCTTCATTTTCTCCTACCTTTTCTTCCAAGCCTATTTAATGTTCCGACCTTTTTTTCCGATTTCCTGCATTGTTCTCTCCCTTCTTTCCTCCTTTCACTTAGTTTTTATTTCCCTGCTCTTCTAATTATTTTTCTTTCCCACTTTTCCTGTCGTTTTTGTGCACCGGGAACTCATGTTGGTACATGTGGGAAACTTCTGTTGGTTTCATACATTAAGGTGTCGCTCACAGGGACTCTTTCTTCTTACTTGAAACAATCATGAGCTTCCCATTATACCAAGGCAAATTCCTGAATTGCCAAATTGCCTTCGTTTCTTAAATTGCTATTCTATCTTTTGTCCTATAAGTTCTCTTTTTTCCTCTTCCTTCTTCTTTGTTAGTCTTTTTCCAATTTTTTACCTCTCATTATTCCTTTCCACATACTGGGACCATAGTTGAAAGGGGTAAGGGGAAATAGTCTTGCGAAGTAATCGGCGTTACGGCCTTTGCAAATCTCTTTCCCTCACTGCCAGTTCATCTGGTTTTTCAGTATGATAGTAATGGCTTGGGAGAAGTATTGGAGGATCAGGGTAAAAGGGTAAAGAGCAATAGTTTTGCGCAGGTAACAGCCTCCGTGAAACAGTTTCTAACTGTCCTTTCAACCCCGATCCCTCAGTACTTCTTTCTTTCCTTGTCTTGCTTTCCCGAATTCGCATCTATTTC